CATCCCTTCTTTTCCTTAATAAATGGATTGGGTAATAAATGATACTATAAGACGCTGTATTGTATTCATAAGAAAAAGAGAGAAAAAAGAAGTTGCCACATGATCTTAATTAACTGAGAGAAAAGATTAAAAAGTAGATGCTCATTTCTATGATCTAGCAGATGATAACTTAGCCAAATAAAATACTGTTCACTCAAAAATTTCACTGACAAATTGTTCCTTTGTTTCATCCATTAGATTCAAGACTCTTTTTTATTTGATTAAAAATATGATAACACTAATATAATAAAAATTTATTAGATGAACATTCAACACAAAATATTGCTGAGGCATGCAACAATGAGAACACAAGAGGAAGGAGGGGAAGAAAATACAAGTGTAGTTGTCCATGAAAGATAGCTTTCAACATTGACTGATACAGCAATTACATGTATAACTCTCAATTCATGCACAGTTAGGTCTCTAGAAAGCAGTTTTTTTGCAGCTCTCTCAGCTTTCCATGCTTTCCGAAACCTTTGTAAAAAGAGCACAGAGAAAACACAGGAAGAATCCATAAAGTCTACATTTCTCTTTTCTCTTTCTCGTCCATTGCTGTGAGTCATAATGTGCCAAAACTAGGCACGCTGAGGGCTCAAATGCCACGCCTTGCCTCCTCAAGTCATGCGCCAAAAGATGCAGCAAGCATGAGCCAAAGCTAGTAGCTCTTATTACCTCGTTTGAAGAGAAAAAAGGAGCACAAGGAGGGGGAACACATCCAATGGGAGATGGCACAAACTCTGAGGACTAAACCAACTGTGCAAAAGCATCTGCAATGATCACATGAGAGAAAACCCCAAGAGAAGAGTTGAAGAGGTTGAGTCTTCCTCACCTGCCTTTAAGGAAGAAAGATGCAGCGTGTCCCTGGTTAGGCAGGAACAAGTTTGTAATGTAATTGGAGAAGGTATATGGAACGCTAAGTTTGGTTGAGTTAGCCTGTTAGGTGAGTTAAAATTTATGGAGGATCATTCCTAGTCAATCTTATTTTACTCGGCTAATATACATTTTTAATTCTAACTCCACAATGATTTTGTTTCCTTTTTCTTACCTTTCTTAGTTTGACCATTGCACAATCCTTAATTAAAACACTAATGACCTTTGAACTCAGAGATGACATGGTCTTAATGGCTTCTTTTTTTTGTTGGTTTGCTATAGCTGCCTTCTTCAAATGAGAACACTGATCCCCAAATTCCTGTATATCTTGGCATTGAGAGATAAAGATGACTGATACAGCAGCATCCCATTGATTTGAACTGCATAATTATTGAAATATTTGACATCAGGACCTTAAAATTCTGGCTTTTGTGGTTTGTTGGATTATAGGCATCACTTGATTAAGCTAAGTAGCCTTATTTGAATTCACCACCAATTGCTGGGGTTGAGAATGAGTTTGATGATTGTGGGATGTATCTACATTTTTGTGTGTATATATCAATCAAGATTTGCTATCAATTACATTTTGATGTCTTCCTATACAAGTCATGATGGTGGAGTGATGTCTTCCTACACAAGTCATGATGGTAAAGAAGAGCAACTGTGCTGCTTATGACTCCACATGTGGATAGTTAGTTGTCTTTATAGAAAAGCTCAGTCCTCAGTTACCAGCAGTGGGAAGAGTTGCAGAGCCCACTACAGGAGAAGACAAATATGCATTGCCATTTCTCTGATCTGACTTTGGAAGCTTAGCTGCATGATTCTGATTTGCATGTTAAACTTCAATCCTTTGTATTTGCTTATTACTCTCTTAAAACCTTAACTTTAGTGCATATCTGTTACCTTTATATGTCAACCATGGTGTGGTTAAAGTCCAAATGTGGATTAGGTTGTTGATACATTCCCCCATCTTACACTTTATAAAGGCAAAGCATGCACACTCCTTATTTTCATATTTTCTCTTTCATCTACTCCTGCTTACTGAAAAATATACAACAATAATAGTAAAATGGTAAGTCTTCATTTTTATGATCGACTAAATAATTTCTCTTTCTGAAAAATATGCTATTTTTTCTTGCATGATTCCTCTTGTTATAATTTTCAAAAGATCAATCTTCAAATTCATTCAATTTGTCTCTTCAAGTCTTTGGATCACATTTCAATAAATTCTAGTTTTAAATGACAGGCTTAATGACATAAAAAAATGAAAATAAATAAATATGAGACAAGAAGGCAAAGATTGAATTTAATGTGCACATATAAACCGATAAAAAATGATAGATGAACATAAATTAGAAAATATAGTCTAACAAAAGAGGCTTCCGTCAAAACTGCATCCAAGGATCCATGGATAGTCTTACCCCTTCAAACACAGAAATTATTTTCATGGCTTGATCGTCCTCTAAAAAAGAGCTGTGACAAAATAAACCTTCACAACAGACCTGCAGAATCCAAATCGTAAACGTTCCACGATTGGGTCAAGTTTATGTTCTACAATGCCAGAAGAAAGAGTACACAGTGAACTGTTAGCAAGTTCTTAGGTGTCTGTAGATCCACGACAACATTAACGGATATCACAGGATGATTCTTTTGCCTGTATAACTGTAGGCAAAGCATCCATTGCCTCGACTGAAGGGGAGAAACTGAGTAGGGCATGATCTCTGAATCTCTTCCTAAGACAACTAGTAACTCAAATTCTAGTTCTGCAGTAAGGGCAATCCCCACATGTCTTCACCCATGGCTCTAAGCAAGCAGGATGAAACCTGTGCCCGCAAGACAGCCGAATCATTTCATCCCCCTCCAAGAACTTTTCCAGGCATATGGAACACTCAAGAAATGCTCTTGCAACATCGTTGACATCTTCTCTATCTTGAAAAACTTCTAGCTGCAGACTACAGAAAGCTTCTGAACTGAGTCCAGGAGGCTTATTGAAATATCGCACATCTTCATCTGTTTCAGCTGTTAACCATTCTCTTCGGTTCTCTGTATCCAACTCCCCAATGTCTATCAGCCTCAGTTCATCACCTACGGCAATCTCATTCGTACTATCAAGGACCAAGAGAATTTATCAGCAAGAGGGAAGCAAACACAAAAAGTATTTTAAGTTTCCTGCACGTCTGGATATCTGAACTACATCACAACACTGGTGATCAGGCAAAGGCATTAGTAGAGCATCTTATTATATAATTTTCAGTGTGCTAAACATTATAGAGACTAACCTGCTTTCCAAAAGAGAAACGCCTCTAAGCCTCTCTTGAAGCCTTGCCCTTGCCTGTAAAACTACGCCAGGGAGTTGTTCATTTCGAGTTAATCTCAACCTGTCCAATGTGCTGCTGGCAGATCCAGCGTTGCTACTGCCAGTCGAAGCAGATTCACCATCATTTACATTACCTACCCAAACTGGTTCATGTTCCTAGTCAAGAAACAAGATTAAGTACAATTTGCAGGGAACAGAATATATATGAACCTAGAAGGCAGACATTTACATATTGCACGAACACCTAAAATTTTTTCTCATAAAAAACCAAATGTAAGTAAATTGGAAGACTTGATTCCTCGAAAAGTATATGAAAGGTATCTTCTTGCACCAGCACAACCGAACAAACAAGAATAAGAGCCAGATAATTCAGATTCAAGGTTGAGAATATCGATCACATGTACCCCAGATACTGATATATCAGTTTCTTCACTAGGGATTTTTGGTTCTCTGTAATGCTATAAATTTTTGTGGTCTAATCAACAGAAATTGTTGGCCGTTGCTAAAAGATTTGGCATGATGGTTGACACGACTCATTGCTATTTCTCTACCAAGAAACTGAACCCTACAGGACAGCTGATGATTTCACGGCCAAATGAACAGCATATGCTGCCGCAAACAGGATCATTGAGGCCAGGGAAGCTGTCCGCTTGAGCATCCCAATGTAAGCCCCTTTTCTCTAGCAACAAATTGGATCATTTATGAGTAGGGCTACAACACGGGAGAGGTAAAACTCCTCAAAAAAGACGAGATTTGACACATCATAAATGGCCTTGGAGGAGAATTGTAAGATGTTGATGATGATGATGACATTGATCGAGCCACAAAACATGACTCTGAGTTGGCAGTAGCATAAGCCAATTCCGACACACAATCACCTGAAATCCAACCCCAATCCAATGAATCGCATCAAACTTCAAGGTTCATACTTCCATCAAAGTTATCACATCGTCAAAACAACAAGAAACCTAGACTTCTACCGGATCATCTCCAACAACAAGAACGGGATCAGATCGGGACTGAGACCGTTACCGTCTGGTGGTGGATGTGGGAGGGACGCCTGGGTTCGACCTGCGGCCCGAAGATCAGGCCGCCGGAGGGATCCCTTCCGATGAAGCGGCGGCGGCGGTTGCGGTAACGGCGGGGGTGGCGAGGATGGGCGTCCCCGGTGCTGGCTGAGGAAGAGGAGGACAGCGGATCGGTGCCCGGGTCCGGGTCGGACTGGCTCCGGCCGGCGCGAGATCTCCAGCTGTAGAGCAGCCCCGATGCGCTCAGCATCGGACTCGATCAACGAACGGGCAGTTACAACGCTAGTCTCCTCCCTCCCCACCTATAGAAGCGGAAGAGAGAGTGGGGAGAGACGTGAAGCGAGAGAGACTCTCGTGGCTCTCATTTTAACCCAATTATTTTCGGCGATTTATGGGAATTTGTTATTTATGATAATAATTAAAAAAATAAATATTTTTAAAAATATTTAATTTACGATATGATATCTTTAAAAATAATATTTAAAAAAATATTTTAACTCACGACTAACTAACGTTGATCAAATTTTATATATATATATATATATATATATATATATATATACATTTATGAAATTAAAATTTTAGTTATTCGGAATCTCATCCGATAATTTTATTTCAAAATATCAAACATTTTAGTTGATAAAGATTTTTCGTTGATACTAACGTTCATGATAGAATCCAAACTTCACCACTATTCATCGATCAACATGCAAATGCATGATTAAGACAAAAAGGATTTAGTAGATAATTCATTCCTCGATAACAATTGTGAGACAACACACTGCTGAAGTCTTTATTTCAACGCAAGTAGAACACTGTTGCTGTTGTTACTGCTGCTAGTTCTATGATACTAAGCTCCTCATACGTCAAGGAATGGGTGATTGTAGTCGGGGCAGGTGGAGAGATCAGAGTCTTTCTCCACCCCTTCAGAGCTCCTAAGCCAGTAGGTTCTTGGGAAGGAGGAAGCACCCTCAGGCACATCTTCCATCACCCATTCATGCCCCTTGGGGTAGTATATCCCTGTCCTTGGATGAGGAATCCACCATGATGCATCATTTACTGCTCCATGCTGTTGCTTCCCCTGTCTTGCTTGCCCATTCTTTACCTCCCTGTGTCCAACACAAGCTTTCAGATGAACTCTAGCAGATGCTCTCAGTGAAAGCTTATGGTGGAAAAAGAAGCAACTATAGATAGATGATAACCAGGGTTGGCTATGATAATTTCCAACCTTTATCTAATGGGATATCTATCATCACAATTCATCAAGTATAGAATAATATATAAATTCTAGAATTCAGATCAATTTTGATGTTTGTAGAATGATGATTCGATTAGAGAGGTTACTTTAGTTTGTAGAAAGTATTCAGATGAAATCTAACAGATGTTCTCACAGTGAAAGCTTATGGTGGAAAAAGAAGAACTATAGATAAATAACCAGGGTTGGCTATGATAATTTCCAACCTTTATCTAATGGGATATCTATCATCATAATTCATCAAGTATAGAATAATATATAAATTCTAGAATTCAGGTCAATTTTGATGTTTGTAGAATGATGATTCAATTAGAGAGAGAGGTCACTTAAGTTGGTAGAAAGTATTGACAGCAACCCACTCAACTAGAAGAATGAAGGCAGTATAACTGGTTTGGGAGACAGAATCCATTATATGGTCAGAAATCACCTTCATCACATATCACAACATTTGCTACTATAATAGACTAATAACAGAATATGTTCCACAGTGTCTGTGGTGGAGTGTCTTCTATGGTTGGATAAAAATTTCATGAATCTCATTTTTTTAGAGACCATATTATATTGGATCCTATATTAAGATATCAAATGATGGAAAAGCCGCAGCAGAGGGGGAAAAGAGAAGGTATCCATGAACAACAACTCCCTGCACCTTTCACACAAGGTATCTTACATGCTTTTGCATAGTTGATGCCATATGAAAGCCACAATAGAAAGCTTCTTTTTCACTTTCATGTACATCACATCTAAGATGATGTTTAGCTTGGAAGTGTATGAGAAAACCTGCAACTTTTTGTCACTTTACTGAAAGAAGAAAAGGAGGAACTTCTTTAGTTCTCAAGCTTATGTGATTCAAATGAATCTTTAGTCCTCTCTTTGATCTCCTCAAATCTAAAGCTCTTTCATTTTTCTTTACTTTCCTTTGTCACTTCCCCTCCTCAAAGCAAACTTCAAGTCATTTTTGACAGCCAATTTTGAAGGCACAGACAAATTATTTTTTGGGGTCAATTACCTTCAGATTGTGCATGGAGCAGTGAACTAGGGAGAATCATTCAAGCCATGTAGCCCACTTCAGTCATTGGAAAAGTCCACTTCAAATTGACTGTTTTCAGGTTTGGTGCTCATCTTGCTATACCAGTTAAAATCAGAATCATGGAAAAAATATATAATGATATGAGTAAGCTTTTAAAGTGTTACGAATCTCAGAGTTGGAACTTTGCCAACATAGAAATCTGCAAATATATCTGCAGCGTTAGAAGAGAAGAAACATATATGACTGAAAGAAGCCAATTCCACTAGCAGATGATTGATGAACATCCATATACATCACATTGTTGAGGTTTATGAATGTCTACATGGTACACTCAACCAAAATGATGATAACATGCAGAGATATCTTCTTCTAATGCAAATTATGAAGGAAAGAATGAAAAAAGAAATAAAGGTACCGAATTAGTCTAGTCGATTTTGCAATCATCGGCCTTCGCATGGTGGACATGAAGGTGCTTCCAAGTTCAGCTGAAACTGCTACCTCCACCCATCTCAAGTATATATAGATGATCCAAACTCCATGTTCCTGACAAGAGAGTTGTTCCACGGAACATCAGTAAATGTTATAACTTGTGTGCCACTTGATAACTGATACAAATGTTGGATGAGTTCAGGTCACAATTCTAGCAAGGTACAAAAGCTAAAAGAGTCTATTGGTGGTAAAAGAACCCAATTCTTTGTACATGGATGCTTCTCCTATAAAGTACTACAATCCAGTCTACGGCTCAAAGCTAAAGGGGTTTCAGATATCACGATAGCGAGAATAATAGGAGCATCATCTTTATCTTTCCTTGGAGGTAGCGAACTGACAGCTAGTGATCGATCTTGTGCTATTAATGTCATTAGTGTGAGTTTGAGAATCAAGGGGATGCAAATGAGTCCTTATTTCAATCTTATGATTCAGAGATATCGAAGGTTTTCCTTTTTAGTCTGAAATCAATTTGAGAGGGTCTTTGTTTATCAGAAAGTAAGAAGTTTCGCAGAGGAAATCATCAGTATAGCGGAAAGAAACAAACGTTGGATGAGAATTGCATATGTTTGGAATGTGTTTGATGGACTTTGGAATTGATTCTTACAGTCTCTTGTGGCACAATCCATATGTTTTATGCTGTTTAATTGCCTTCGTGTAAATAAATATTATGTAGGAAGTTCTGTTGGCAAGATCATGGAGTTATCATTCCTTTGGATTTTTCTTTCTCAAGATTGTCATCATCCACCTTTAGACTGCTTGATATTTCATGAGAAGTAAACTAGACTAATTCCATTATTCTTCTCTCAACATAATGTTTTCACATAAATTTGTTGTTCTTGGCACATGGATTCCATGCCATTGGCTTAGATAACAAAAATTGAAATATTTTGAGATTGAAGCCAGCATTTGCATTATGTTTGAATTAGGATTGCCACCAACAATTGTTGAGAAGGAAAAAAAATTCTTCAACTTCATTTGCAATTACAGGTATAGGCTTTTGGTTCGGAATTCATGGACAGAGAATTTATACTCTTGCCACTAGGGAAAAAAATGCTTGATGTGATTAATTTTCTAGACTTATTCACACAATATTTTAAAATGTAATATATCATTTTTTTTTTACATTTTGACAAGGTTTGCACATCATGTTATAAGTATTCGAAGTTGAAACATACATGGCTTCCATTTGCATATTTGCATAGGCTATAGTCTTCTGTTTATTCTGTGTCAACAATTGCTGCTTTCTTTCTTAGATGAGAGGTGAATTTTTTATTACTAAAACAAGCTTGGGCATTTAAATCTCGATTCCAATTCTGCTTTCTTTTCCCTTTTGAAGGGAAAATAATGGCTTTTCTTTCGAGATGGAGGAAATTTGGGACCTGGATGCAGCTAACCTTTTGAGGCAAGTTAATTCCACCAAACTATATCTAATAAGTAAATGCAAGATAATATTGAGGACTTGTATATGGCTACAGAGTGCAGACTGCTATAAAACCTGGTGTAAATCACAGAAAAAGATGCAGTTGAAATTGCTATTTAATCGGATGTGATACTTTCAGATTCACTAGGCTTGACAATTTTATCTACTTGGGAGTAAAAGCTGCAGCATTACACCAATATGGCAAGCAAAACCAGAAACTATTACTTCTGTAGTTGCTTTGGCACAGAGAAATGGCAGAAACTTCAGGCTCTCTTCATGTGTTAATTCAGCAAATCATCCCATTTGCAGTACTGTCCACCTGCTAAGGCACGATAAAACCGATCTCTGCAGTAGACTGGCCTTCCATCTGCTGCCTCAGCCGCAGCAGCTGCAAGGTCATCATCATCCTTCACCTCTATTGGTAATCTAAGAAGCTCTTCTTTCCTACATTCATTGCAAAGTTGATAAGAAGTTAGTCAATGCAGGTCATACTTTGAGCTAGTTACAAAACTTTGGTGAGGGCCAACCTCAGATTAGGTTTGATCTGTGAAGTTGCAGAGTTCAAATTATTGTCATTTGATCTGAAAGCTGAATGCAGGAAGTCTTCCACTGGAGCAGCAAATATGAACAGTGACACAGCACTAACAAGCAAAGCTCCTGTCCCAACTAATGTTTGTTTCAACAACTTAATCACTGGTTTTACCTAATGCACAATGCGGTACTGTTCTTCAGCATAGCTATTCATGCATATGAAATATAGACAAAGGAGATTTTGTGAGAAACAACAGGTTCTTATGGTGGCCTCAAAATTTTTTTTGTAATTGCAACCACAGACATTAATGGAAAGAACAGTTGGCATCAACAGATAGCAGAACATAATAACACATATATTCTGATCATGTGGTTCCTCATGTAAAGCAAAGGATTCTGTTGAAGCAGTCTAAGCAAGCTAAGAACCAGATGCTCCCTGTGCATCTGGTGTTTGACCTTTCTGATCAAAGTACAAAGTGATATCCATAGGCCACTTGGTAGAATATCTTCAGTTGTACTATGTGCAAGTGTAGAAAAATGACTTGGAACTTCTTATATAGACAGATATGTGACAATTCACCATGCTGTATCTTTGTTAATTTTAAAGAAATATCAAAAGCATTTACTGACTTCTGGAAACCACCAGCCATATCACATAGCCATATTTTGCTTGTGAGGATTGGGAATGGGATATTCCTTCCTGCTATTCTTATTGGTCTTATCTTCTTTTCTGATAGATTTGCCTCATCTCTGTAATTAATGTCATTATTTCATCTGAATGTTAATATTATGTGAAGAATAGTCCGGTTTAACTTTTCTGGTAGATGGCTTTTTAAAAGTCTGGACCATCCTTTTTTTTGGTTTTCTGAAATGTGCTGATTATGTGTGCATAGCTACAGAGTGATTCTACCAAAAACTGGATATATGTGCTAACTATGCATTCATAGCTAAAGGTGTGGCAGACTAATAACTGATTCACCTTCCATCTGCTGCCTCAGATGCAGCAGCTGCAAGGTCATCAGCATCCTTCACCTCAACTGAACAAGCAGGAGCATGTGTTGGTTTACATTGTGTGATTCTCATTAAAGACAACTAGAAATTATGGAACATTAACCTCATTAGTTACCATAAAAAGTAATTTATATTGCTGTCCAAGAAGGCATTCTTTATTTTTTGGAATTCTTTACACACTAACAAGTAAATATGGTGACTTTGCAATGATCACATACCTTATAAGACCCCAACAGTCTATCGCGAGCCAATACCTAACATAAGAAATAGGCCACATATTACATCAGAACAATCATAAAATTCTTAAAATACTACATTTGCTAAATCAACAAATAGTATAACTAGAACAATTTTATCTAGAATACATGGTTGTTAGTTTGTTATAAGAATTAGGGTAGGTCTAGTAGTGCATGAGGTGCCCGACAATGCAGGGGCTGGGAGGAACAATGTATCCAGTTTTGCTCATTAAACGCATGAAATAGAAATGGACCTTAACCTACCTAATATCATTACTATTTTTTTTGCAATACTGTGCCTAGATTCATGATCAATTCATTCTGAGTTAAATTCTTTGCAAATTTTCTTTTGCAAGTGGCTAGCTTGATGATTGTTGATGACTAACCTCAGGTGGTTTCACCCACATTTGCCCATCATACCACCCGGTTTCCTCATAGGGTATCACTGCTGATAATAGCCTGTTGCCAACATAACTCCATCCCTGTTACATCAGAATATAAAATGAAATCAGCAGTTTTCACATCAAACATCAAATTTTTTCAAACCTATGATATCAAGTAAATCAAGGAATATCAGAACACTGAAACAGAGTTGTACTTAGTACCCAAAAATCAATAAGCAAGATAATTCATATATCTTGTTCATCTTACTGATGTTCAGAGTTGGAAAAGTTGGTGCAAGTAACTGAATAAAGTCTTGATTCTACATTGTAGAACATTTTTTAACAGATATAAGAATGTACTGATAAATTATCTGTTGTAGATGGATATAGTATCAGCAAAAAGGTAATGAAATTTAAATCTTATCTTCTGTGTTTAAAGATACTTGAGGAAAAATAATAAAAACAAAGTTACAAGTTACTACTGTTACATGGTATCATGTCCTGAATTTAAAATGGGGTTTGAATAAGATTTAGTGAGAGGAGGAAGGAGAAGCTATTTCAACTAGAGGTCCATGGACCATATGTTCTGCGCATTGCAGGATCTCCAACCATTTATAGCAGATCAATTACAGGAGTTCATTGATTCCACCAAAGTAACTAGACTTTTCTTTGTAAGCGTCGTTGTTGTTGTTGAATTACTTCCAACTATTCAAGTAATTTGCAGGAGCTGTGTTGTTCAACTGTTCATCTCTATTTTAATTCATATTATTAATATATATTATATCGTTTACCAGATAAATCCGCAGTACCACCAGAGCCACCAGAAGAAGAGTTCCAGTCCCAGCTGCAAGAACAAACTTTAGTGGATCCTATACAAGAGCAGCAAAGAAGAGAGAAAAGTTAGATATAAAAATGATTTTTTTTTTTCAGCAGACAGAAATATGTATGATGTCCTTTATACTTATAGTAAGTTCTCACTTATAACACAAAATTTTCCTTTAATCGAATATTATGAGCGGTTGTGCAGATGTTTGACTTATCTTGCTCCTAGAATTTTGAATCAGTTACATAACATGTTGGCGAAGCAATTATACTATCTTGTGATGCAAGCTTACCATTATTTACATGTTTTATCATGAACAAAAGAAGATAATTTCATATCAGAATGAGATGGTCAATTTGATCATACCTTTGAAGGGTTGAAGCTTGCAGCTGCTATCGGTGCTCCTAGAACCGTAAATGTTACTAGCGATAAGCTGCCAAGGCGTAAGAAGAAGTTCCCCGGACTCAGTTCTCCCCAGGAGTAAAGAGTACTAGTTTTCAAGGCAGCATACTCGTTAACCTATCACATCAGTGAAAGTTAAGCTCAAGAAAACAGTATATGCTCTACTGAATCTGTACAGTGATTTAGTTTCCATCGCTATATTTAGAAGTATTAACTAGTCCTTATTGAAGATGGTGAATGAGACACAATAAAACATTAATTAATTAACCATGTTCACTGATATAGAGAATGCATATGAACATGTAAAGCTGTCTTCTGAATTATATGACTTACTCAACCAAGTAAAATTGAGATTTTTTTTAATCCTATTAGATAAGCAGAAACTGTACATTTGGCCTTGACATTAATCAGGCCTTCTGCAATGTGTTGAAGAAATCATGTGTGCAAAATCTGTAATGAAGTCACAAGAAAAAAAAGTTAAAGGGATGCCAAAATGCATCACGCTCTACCATCTAATTTAAAGAAATTCTAATAGAACACTAGAGTTTCCGTTGTGGTGGTTTCTTTGACCTTGTTCTTTACTGGGGAATCAGATTGGATCCTGCTTCTTTATGCATAAAATCTATCATCTTTAATCGATTTGTTCTCTTAGAGATTTGATTACTCATCTTTGGAGCCTCAGCCTCTTCTCAACATATCAAATTTAATACAACCAAATTGCAAGTTGAAATAAATGGATGGTACCGAGACAGTCCTTGTTATCATGAAGAAGGAAAAGAAAAAGGAAAACAAATGATGATTCAGAATCCTCCTAACTCCACTCATGGAATTACATCTGCCAAGAAACTCCCAACAGTTCAACCCACCCAATAAAACCTAACAAGATTAAATAGATTAGTATATTAGCAATTCTGGTTCCCTAGAGTTAGTAAAGCCCTTCTACCTCAAGCTAGAGATAGTTTAGCTCTTCTAATTTAATCCCCTCAAAAGAAAATACAATCTGTTTCCCCTTTTGATGAAATAGAGATACTTTTAACATACATCACATACTCCATATATGAAATTATGCATAAAACTAACTGAATTGCTTTGCTTTTTTATGAGACCTTAATATTTGTTCTGTCTACAAGCGAGTGAGATGACATCATGAATGAAGGTAAGTTCAGTGCTCACAGGTCTCTGCTCAAAGGGCACTTCAATCTCCAAGCCAGGATCCCAGCTTTGCCCTGCAAAGCCGCCGGCGCCGCCTTCAGCATCATCCCTCACGGCCCTGACAGTACAGCAGAAGCGACTCCACCTTGACGGCCACTTCAGCCTCGAAGCTTCAAGCACCAACTGGCCCTGGTGGCGGCGGCCAATGATTCTTTGCGTTCCGCCGTCCCTGATTCCGCAACCAGAAACCTGCAGCCTGAGCATAGCGTCTCCACAAGCTTTCCCTCTGTGTTCTTCTTTTCTTCAATCCAGCTTAAGAAGGATTCAGTCTGCAGCCATGCATCCTTTTACGTGGTGGGAATTGTGCACCGGAAATGCGAAGGGTAGAGCAATCCGTGCCGTCCGTCGGAGATCTAATGGCTCCTGGAGTTTCTGATCGGAAACCTGGGATCAGAATCCATGGCTATTGGTGCAAAGAGGGCCTCTGTGTTTGTGGTGTAGAAGGAGCACATGTGGGTGCAGCGAGGACACATGGCAAATGGCTTCTCGGGCTGTGCCACTGCGTGCTCTGCCTCCGGAACTTCCACCTCGGCATGTGCAGGCCACAGATCTACAGAACAAGTACCTCACCGGAGAAGTTGAGTAGTTGTGTTTAGCAGAAACCACCACCAAAGAACGGTCATTCATGTATTGCTTCTTTTAGCAGAAATCACGCACGCATGTTTTCATTGCAAACATTCACATATAGTGGCATTAGATTTCACACATCACCCGTGTCTCTCCCATAGGTGACGTGTATTCCACGTGTCGGATCCCATGTGCAGCGCACCGTAATCCTTCCGGTCAAAAATCTCCAAAACAAACGAGACACACACCCACAAATATACCCAAACAGCAGACACCACAAATCTGCCTTCTTGGGTACCGGAGCTTTCCAGTGCTTTAATTTTCCGTATGATTCTTGGTGTGGAAAACAGCACGATCTCTTCCCCCGACGCGCCTTTCTTTCTTTGTTTCTTTCTTTAAAGAGAAACCCCTGCGGCATAAAGGCCAGTCTCCGATCCCATTCCCCACTCGGTTACGACTTCCTATTTCGTGCTGCGGTCTCCATGAAGGCGAACAGGGCCGGGAGGACGAAGGTTGAACTCCCCTTCTTGCTCCTATGCTGCTCCCTCTCCTTCATGGTAGGGTTCTTCGGTTCGGGTCTCTTCCTCCAGGTGTGCCACCGTCTGATGTGGCCTCTTCCGCTCTCTTCTTTCTCTGTGTCTTCGTTTTGATGATCCTGTTTGATGAAGTGGGATTTGAATTGGGTTCTCGCAGGGGTTGCCTGGCGACGGCTGGGCTCGGAGGAGATCGATGGAAGAGGCCGGGGCGGACGAGGTCGAGTTGCCGGCCATGCCCCATGGGCTCACTGGAGAAAGCAATCCTGCTTTGATCGCCTTCCAGGTTCTGTTTCTCTATCCACATCTTTGTGCTTGTGATTCCGATGAATTAGCGTACAGGTAGAAGTGATGCTTGCTGGTTTGTGCAATTGTGGAGGGTTGGATGAGATTTAGATGGGGAAGGTGAAGTGTGAGTGGGAATTGTACTGTGGAAAATTATAGGAAATGGACTTGTTTGCTATTTTAAGCGATCAAATTTGGATCATTTTTCATGTACAAGCCTTATATTATGAGCATAATCGATCTCTTTGAGCATCCCAGGAATCTCCTGAACCCATTCAATGGACCCCAAAAAAGCACTTTTGATTGCATACCTGGTCAGACATGGCATTCTTTACACATGGATTGGATGGTCAAGATGGTTTTAGCAGAGATATTCCACACTAATGACTGTGGAAACTCCCTCTGACCACGTGTATTCCTTTGAAAATTCTGATACACACTGTTGACTGTAATTCTAATGCACTAACCTGGAATTTCTTACAGATCCAATAACTTCATTATCAAGAGATGAAGAAGCCACCTTGACCATTCTAACATTTTTTTCTATAATTTAGAAGAAGATGATTATGCAGATATCAGGAGATTTCCCCATAGAATTTTAACGGTGTGACTTGCATGATTGATGAAACGACATTAAGATGATTTGAGTTTTTAACTTCTGGGTGATTGGTGATCCTTGTCTTCTTGTCAAGATTAAGAGAACAATTAAGAATTTACATTAACTAGTTTGTCAACCCTTGGCTTTTTGTGAGATCTTTGACTAGTTAATATTTATTAATCATAGGATTCTTTATGTATATACCCTTCAAATGTCATGTATATCGTTGTATATGTTTGCCTCTCTTTCATTTGCTATAATGCCCTATAAACTCTGTCATATTTGTGCATACTACTCACCATACTGTTTCAATGAACAGTAATGAAGTTAGCCAGGTTAAAACATAGGTTTTCCATGTGTTAACTAATATGCCACTGAATTGCACTTTTGTATAATATCAATATAAACTGTGTTCGTTGCTCCCTTAACTTGCTGTGGGTGCTTGTGCAGAATTGCTTAGGTTTACAAGTTCCTTTTTCTTTCTTTGTTTAAGTTTCTAAGGCTACTCATGATAGATGGAGTGAAGTGAAGGGGTACAAACATAAATATTATATACCTTGATGATCATCATGCTGTTTTGAACAAGGCATGGCCAGATACACAAATACCTATATTGAGGAATATATATGCAAAAATCTGTATCATCTTCTGGGCTCGAAGTTATGGTTTTCTTGAACAACTGTCACTAAGTTTGTGTACACTGCTAATTCTGGAAACAGGTTTTGAGCTGGAAACCTCGTGCATTTTATTTCCCCAAATTTGCAACTGTCGATCAATGTCAAACTATCATAAAAACTGCAAAATCAAGACTTGAGCCATCAACAGTAGCGCTAAGGAAGGAGGAGACGGTTCCAATTAATAATGGGATAAGGACAAGGTAAACTTTTAGCTCTATGATAATTATAGACCAATTTCAGAATAAGAAATTCTGAAATCCTTTTTAGAGAAATATAAACACAATTACATATATTTTAGCTTCACAAGGTTGATGGAGGAATTATAACTGTCCATGTACATAGGTTCTCTGATCGAGCAAGTGCTTTTGCAACATTTAATTTATAAAGTTGGTCGAAAAACTAATGACATCTTCTGTGAATTCTTCATAATTTTCTGTGGTCAACATATTGTTGATGATGTTCTAAAAGATACAGAAACCACTTAGCATTTGACTGACACCTTCTGATGTATGATTGGTGATAGATTAAAACACAAGAACTTCTGCATCTTACAATTAATTTTCAGCCATTACTGCTCAAGATTGATCAGAATTTAGTGTTAGTTTCTGGAGTCTGAATGCTGCTCTGAACTCTGATTCTCAAAAATATGATATTATTTTTGCATGTATTTTTTCACCATTAGTTTCTTTTCTGAAGAAGGAAGAGGCATTATCTGATTTTCACTAGTAACAACTTAATACAAGAAGATACTTACACAGGGTTGGAAAAAAAGTGAGAACTGAAAAATGGTTGGAGAAACACCAAAGATAAAGTAAATGACCAAAGCACCACTTTTTTCCTATAATCTCACAATGTAGATTTTTATCTTGTAAATCATATCTCATAATTACTATGTTTGACAGTTCTGGGGCATTCCTTAGTGCATCAGAAGATTCAACTGGAACTTTGGAGCAAATTGAGAAAAAGATTGCCAGAGTGACCATGCTTCCAATAGAAAATGGAGAGGTAGATTGTTTGCGACTAAAATCGGACTTGAATCAGGATGTCATTTCTCTTATATTGCTTCCAAGTCGATTATTCATTCATTCTATCACTTAAATCTTATATCAGGATTTTCATTTCTTAATTCTTATATTGATATGCCATATATTTCGTTAGCAAATTTTGTATCATGTGAGAAAATAATTCAAACCATATAAATGCTTTAAGAGCTAGTTTAATAATCTGATAAGGCACACGAGGACAAATAAAAATTTTATTATATGTTATGGTAAAGCTAACTTCAATTCTCTATAAGAATTATGTTGTTAAAGAATTTCTGACATTTTATTGTATTTGGTCTCATGTTGACTTTCCTTTAATAGGTGTAGGCCTTGGAGTTCTAGCTAATTACACCATGGATTACCTGTTAGATACTTGGTAATACAGATGTAAAATATATTCAGGACTTCAATTTTTGAAATGTAGCCCTCCAATGAGAATGACATGAGATAATTTTTCTCTAATTTTAGTTGGACCTTTTTGAGTGCACTCAGAGCTAAGCTGGAGAAGTTCTATGAAAAATATTCTAACAGTGCCATTAACACAAACCTGTGACCTTGAAGGCTTAATATGAAGTCAACGTACAGTCTGACCAATGTACATCCTAATGATTGTTTGTGAAGGAAAGGGCTGACTTTAATATGAATAGATATTGTGGTAATATATGGTTAACGTTTCTTTTTCTCTTTGGATGAAGACTGAGGCATAGCCTCTGTGATTCATTTTGTAGGGAGTGGAACAGTTAAATCCATTTGATAGCCATAGCCATTGAAAGTTCTGGATATGGAAAATATATGCATTTCCATAATCACAGTATCTTGCATCAATCTACCAAGGACATATCTTTGTCTCTCTTTTGAGAAGGAAGTTAAACTTGATAATATGTTCAAGTTGCAACAAGTTGCACTGTTTGATGTTTTAATGCAAGTATCATACATTCTTATGGATTCTATGGATTTAAACAAGCCTATCGTAGTACATTTTGAGCACAATTTTGATGCCTAAGAATGTATTTATCTTAACATTTTGACACTCAGCATATATATATTTAGAATAATTTCCTACACTCCAGTAGTTTCTTTTCCCACACGTGTGAAAGTTTTGATGACTTGAAGTCTAAGAAAGTGGTTTATTCATGCTTAGGCTTGGTTATCCTGCCAAAAAATTATAACCCAAATCCTGAATGCATCGACTTTGATATTGGACAAATTACAATGTAATGACAAAATCCAGGACTTCAACTGTGTTAGTCATTATGCAATTACTGAATCTCATGCATTTTTTACTGAATTAAAAGTCTACATAAAAATCAGTCTTCTAGATTCCTTAATGCTAACAAATGACCTACATTTTCTCTTTTTCTCCTTTTACCTTCATGGATATATTAATTTGTTTGTTAAGAAATATCTGGGACATCACTATGTTGCAGGCCTTTAATGTCCTTCGGTATGAGACTGGACAGAGATATGCTTCTCATTATGATGCCTTCAGTCCAGATGTGTATGGCCCACAGGAGAGCCACAGGGTACCTACTTAGCCGTATCATTTTCCCATGTTTTCTGTGATGAATATACTTTTGTTCCTGTTACTCCTGAATTTTCAAGGTCTGTTGCTTAGGTTTAGTTGCTTCTGATCTGAGTTCTCAAATTGCTATTTTACATCGATAATACTATGCAATACATAATAAGCATTCTAAATTTTCAAATTCCAACCATGTAATAGGAACCATACTTTGCCCAACTTCCATGCATGGAATTCTGAACCAACAAAATCAGAGTAAGAAATTGACTAATCCTTGATCATACATAAGTTGCTTCTCCTATGCATATCTGAGGTGGCTAGTAAATGCTACAAAACATGGAATAAGAAAACAATTAACCAATCTGTGGTGAAGCAGGATCACAAAATGATATTTATGCTGAACAATTTTCTGTTTTTTGCATATCATGTTGGAATTTGAAGGTTTCCAAAATTTCTAAGACAAATACATACAGCCTTGGCATGTGAAAGTATTTGTACCTTGTTAAGTCTTTTATTTACTTCCTTTCACTAGGTTCTAATCCAGTGAATATGTCAACTGCAAATAGACACCTGCAAATTATTAAAATCATAGATGCATAGAAATATCTAAAAGAAAAAAATTCCACTTTTTCCCTCAGAGTTTGTTCTTATTGCCTGCATATATCTGATGGTAATTATTTTTTCCATTTTTTTCTTTTCTGAGAACAATATCACCATTCATTGTCTAAAAAAATTAATAGGATTTAATATGATGCACGTTTTATTAGGTCACCATATCCAGGTCAGTAATTACATTGAAGCAATCAATATTGTTTTGAAAATATGTACTATAACCTATGCAAATATCATAATGAAAACTATAAGATTCTGTTAACTCTGAAGCTGTGTCGAACACAGGTTTGCCTCAGCTTAAATCACAGAAATTGATGGATTTCTGCCAAGGCCGGTCCCAAATTTTATTAATGAAATTTCAGTCACTTCCCTAGTTATAGAGATTTTGTCAAATTTGAATTAGTTTCGGGTCCATTTCTGGTGGTTCAACAAGAATTGAGCAATTGCTGTTAATATCGTTGGCTTAAAATTTAAATTCATACTTTTAAGGTTTTCCCTTAGCACATTTGATGAAAATAATGAAATTGAAAGTTTAGGTTCCATTTTTGTTGCATGCAATTTTTTACTGAGTTTGCTCAAGTCAGTATTTTTATTGTTCATTTGTATCGTATTTGCAGTTTATAGAAGCCATCTTAACAATTACCATTAGATTATTTATTTTGAGCAATGTGATCAGGTTGCCACTTTCATATTGTACCTGACAGATGTTGAGGAAGGGGGAGAAACTGTTTTTCCTTTTGAGGTAGGCGTACGAAAAGAGATACCACACTTCAAATTTAACTTGCCTGATAACTTTGGTACGTGAATCATGTTGGATTTGCAGAATGGGTCGAATATGGATATCAAGTACGATTATGAAAAATGTATTGGTTTGAAGGTCAAGCCACGAAAGGGCGATGGACTTTTATTCTATTCAATGTTTACAAATCACACTATTGATCCTGTGAGTACTCTTTTATCTAGTGGCTCTTTTACAATTGCTTTCTTTGTGCAAGTGGGAAAGCAATTATTGTTTGCTTATTAATGGCTGATAATACTCAGATACACCACATCGATACTATTTTCACCATGTTAATTAGTAGTTTAATTGTTAGATATAACAATTTAACCAATACTTCTCCAGAAACTGATATATAAGTTCTGCTGATCACTACCTAGCAAACCATAATGATATGACCTACAGTCTAGTAGATTGAACGACGAAGATGTGAGGTCGGTCGACAGAACAGATCTTTCCTAGCTTACAACTTGAAATATTATTCCTGGGAACAAAGCATAAAATGGGCAGATCAAGAAAATAATTGCAAGTAGTTGATCGTGATCATGAATTTCAGGAGAACAGGCTGCAAAACACTAACCCCTGGACCATTTATTGTTTCTTGTTAGCAAAGAAGAGTTTTGGTTCCTAAATAAATTTTACTTTTTCTGCAGACTGATAGAAAAGAATATTTACTTCCAACTTCTTGTGTTTTCTGTTTGTAGTTGCCTGAGCATTTGAAGAAAACATTTGATTAACATGCATTAAGGTAACTAAACTTGTAATTTTAGAAAGTGAAGACCAAGTCATTGTGTTTATCCTCGTACCAGGTGAGACTGCAGATTAACAACTGGTGGAATATGATAGTATACTAATCTGAGGTGAAAGTATGGAGAGTGGATTATTTAGTTGGACAAATTATAATCCGATACTTTCAGGATATAGCATGTGTTTTCACATTGAAGTTTTATTGAAAGAAAAGTAATTGTTTACTTTGTCATTCCATCATGGTACTATTAGATGCAAATTTGAAAGAGGGTACTAAAAAGAACTCTGAATAGTTTGTGCTGCTTTTAGCTTGAATTAATTAATTATTGTTTAAATTATGTCACTGACATTATGGTACCTTGTTCGCAAATAACGATACCTCCTTTCCCTTCTCTATTTGATCTTCTACTCCAATTGATCAGACCTTGTTCTCCTTGCAGACATCACTTCATGGGAGCTGTCCAGTGATTAAAGGCCAGAAATGGGTGGCTACTAAATGGATCAGAGATCAGATACAAGACTAGCTTGACGATGACTGCATCGATGCACTTATTCATTCTTCTTTTTGTGTTTAAGTTGATTAAATTGAGACATACAGAAGACGTGTCAGGAAGAAGAAAAATAGTGTCTTTTAGTGCGAGTTGTTGAACAGAAAGTTTTGGTGTCCATTAGGTTGTGGTCCTGATACTGAAGTGTCATGTAGCCTCTCCTGAGAATATGAATAGCATTATTAAAGATGAATCCTCCATAGGAAAATGAAAATTTATTGTGCATTCTAAATCTACATCCATCCTTGAGAATTCCACTCACATGATAACATAATGGCATTGTGTTTGAAAGTTCATATTACAGCCATTATTTTTAGGTTGATTAAAACGATTGGATTTGATTACCGGTCTGCTTAGCTCATCTTCCTCTTATTATTTCTAGATTCAAGGGTGAAAAAAGGAATCATACAATGGGAAAAAGAAAAGATCTGCGTCACTTGTACTAAGATGCATACGAATCAAGTTTCTACATTAAGGAAAATATAATTGACGTTTTGGTTAGCTTGATATGGTATGAACCCGTATATATAGGATTGTCCAAAATATAATTGACGTTTTGGTTAGTTTGATACGGTATGAACCCGTATATATAGGATTGTCCGAGGTGTCTTCGACATAGAAATGATAAACTCCTTAAGTGTCACCTACATAAAGATTAAGGTTGAGAGAGATTTTCTGATCTAGTCACTTCGATGCTCAAGTTAGTAACTCAAAATATATGAGTACGGACATAAATAGTCAAAATAAGTCTCCCTTTCTCTGTGTTAAAGCAATCTTTTATACTTTTCATAAAAAAGTTTCCTTTGTAATTGTCTTTCTTGTCATAAACAACAAGAAGGAAGCTTGTGATTGTCTTTTCGATCATAAATGATAAGAAGGAAGTTTCATATTATCCTTCCTCATTAGACACCACATGATAGTGATATGTCGGATGATTAGCCGACAATATATCCCCTATCATTTGTCATCTCTGATGGCATGCATCGGGACTCTTTTAAGAGGGGCTCGAAGTACGATATTTAGTTCATCCGACATGTGAGTAATAGGGATTTTTCTTGCGGGTCGGGTCTTCTCGACGTACGTGCCTTAGGCACATATTACCTTGTGCCTCTCTCATGACAGATTTCTCTTTATGAAGATCAAGTTTTCCTAACTCATGCGTCTTGAGCACATTTTATCATGTGCCTCCGTCATGACAAATTTCTCATTACTCAAGTGAGGTTTTTTCGACTGACGTGCCTCGGGTATATTTTATTTTATACCTTTATTGTGATGGATTTTTGTAATTTTCAAGTCCATCTAGTGCATTTCAAATCTTTCATCTGGCATGTTTCGAATCCTTTATCTAGTACTTTTTGAATCTTTCATCCAACACTTTTCGAGTCCTTAATTCATTAGCATCCCTTTGGAAGTGTCTCGAAGGGACACTTGTCTCAATCATGGCAGGAGAGAGATCGACTTCCTCCTTATAAATCCCCCTTCACCTTATGGGCATAGCTCATTCTTCCATTTGAGCCTCCAGAGCCTCCTTAGAAATATTCTTAGCTTCGTTTTGGTTCCCTGCAAGGTGAGTTGGTTCTTGAGTCTCTCATAGTCTTGATGTCGGTTTAGCAACAGATCGATCTTTTATCATTCTGCTCCTTTATCTCTTTAGATTAGGATATCTCTCCTTTCTCATATAAGTTCCTCTCAATAAATTAATCGTCAGTCAATCAAGGTCCATACTTCAACTTTGGGCAGCCTAAGGGTGGAGGAAATCTCAACCCCCTTTTCATTAGGGAATGTAGTTCCTATGAACCCGAAAGCTCTTCAGGACTTAGAGTTCATAAAAAGCTCATATTTCTATGATTTAGTGGTGAGTGCATCACTTCTGGATCACCTATGAGTCAAGTATTCTATCCCAATCCAGTTTGACTTGCAAGTCTCTCGACCCAGTTAGCATCCATTCAATCTCGTGATGCCCTCTAGGCAGAACTTCGTCTTCCTCTCCATCCAATGATAGTGTCCTACTTACATTGGTGGAAGATATTATCTTCTCAGATAGCGCCTAACTTATAATGCTATCTAATAGTGTTCATCGGGAAATGCTAGCATGACAACATTACTCCGACCTATAAACTTTTTTTGACTTATTTTTTATTACGTAAGAGGAAAAGTTACTACTATTTGGTTGCTAAGGGGGGGAGGGACGGTTTTAAAGTTAGTGGAGCCCCTTCCAACCATAAGGGCTAGAATGAGTACTTCTTTTTCATAAGTCCAAGTTAAGATTGGAGGTTTGATCTCATCTGATCGATGCGTTGCATAGATAACACCCCTCCCTTTCTTGTCGAATGAGGATGCAGATCAAGTGCTTTAGCTAAGGGATATATTCTCTCCCTCTAAGGCCATCTAGAGCATGGATGTCCCTCTTTTAATCCTATGCTACCTTATGATTGTGATCCTTTACAAACATTAATCTATATTCTTTAAAGAAGAAGGTGCCTAGCTCCTCTTTGGGTATGGCAATGGCCTCTTTGACTCTAGCCACTATTTGTGAATTCAGGTCCAATTCGGTTTAACCACCATGTTAGCTTCGATAAGCTAAGAAAGAAGTAGAAGACTATTGTAACAAAGATGCCTCGCCCTCAAAGGGGTGTGGAACTCAAGGAGCCAATTCTCGATAAGAAGCCTCTTACCTCTGCAGCACCGAGTCCTTCAAAAGGTTGTTGAAGTTCTCGATTCTCTTTGGGAAAAGGAGAAGATAGACCAAGATCGATGTTCGATTTATATAGGGGCGAGTAGCTATTTAAATAGTCGACCTGCCAGACTCGACCCTAAGAGTACCATTATAGTCAAGATGGTGAGGGTTTGCATGAGGGGCAGAAGGCATGTAGTGATGGTATTGCTAGTTACAAGTGCCCTACAAGCTAATCATATGAGTAATGACACGTGTGACACGTTGCACATTCTATTTTTTGTTATTATTATGATATTTTCTCACTTTATATTCGGTAAATATATATTAATGTCTTTAGATATGTATAATGAGAATTAGATTATGATGAGATTATGATAATAAGATTAATTCACCTTTAAACAAATATCATAAATATTCTTGGTCATAGGTTACTCGAGAGGGATATCGAGATAACTGGACAGATTGGTATACTATATACTGGTCTATATAATGGATGCAGTTAGTCTTATAGCTACCCATATGGGGACACTAGGGATATAGTACATGTGTTCATAAGAGAATAAGTTCACTGGATGATTTGCTTACGAAATGTTAGATGGTTAATGATGCCTCATCATTAGAAAGTGACTTTATGGTCTCAATTATGTTTGGTCTTTAAACTTAAGATACCAAAAATATCTTGTTTAAGTACTCCATTCTTTGATATATGACTTATAGGTCTGAAAGTTTCAGATCTAGTACAGTTGGTCATCGAGAATGATAACCAACCTTGCAAAGGAATTGAGTGTCAATAGAGGATCATCTACTCTCGATATCATGATAGAAATATCATATGTATTCTCACTCAAACAAATCCTGAGCTAAGGTCAATCATATCATGATGAATCTGATCTGATAAGCATGAGATTTAGATTGAGAGAGAAATTCGGGAGAATCCGATTAAAGTGAGACTCAAATATATTTTGTATGGGCTTGACAATGCTAAGTATAACTCATGGCTAGCTTAATATTGGGCCTAGAGGGTCACACACATATGGTGGATAATGAAATGAATAGAGGATCAGATATATGATATCTGATAAGCCCTTGTATTAATAGATTCTTGGGTGAGACCCAATAGGGATTAGAATAGTTATTAAATACGAATTCAATATCCATTAAGTTAAGGGGTTATTGGATAAAGATCCAATACCCAAAAGAAGAATCTAATATGGTTAGTTGAAGGAGACTCTCTATAAATAGAAGTTGGGACTAAATGGGCCACAAGCTAGACCCCTTAAGCTACCAGCCTCCTAATCTCCTCCCCCTTTTTTTCCTCCAATTGATAGCCCCCTCTCAAGTGCATGAGGATAGCAACAAGGGTCGAATTCTTATTGGTTGCTGCGACATGGTGGTGTACGAATGTGAGGAAGAAATGTGTTGTGCGAGGAGATGCATCGTCATTGCGTCTATCATGTGGATCACCACTAGAGAGGAGTTTATGAGATCTTCTTCATCTATAGATTGAGATCTATAGATTAGGAGATATACGATCTCCCCTAGGTGAAAGTGTCTCACATATCTTACATAGTTTTCAGTTTTTAGAAATTTTACACTTTCAATCGATGCATGACAATTCGATATGATTCTTTTATGAAACCAATTTTTATTTTTATTTTTTTATTACATATGTGATGCTCTCTACGGTTTCCCAATAGGTGTATATTGAGAAATCTAGGGTAGCATCACATGTGTAATGAAGAATAAAAAAATAAAATCCTAAAATTTCTTGCATAAAAGGTTTCTCGTCGTCATGCGAAGATTGGTACGTAAAAACCCGCAAAACTAAAAAACTACACGTATACGAAAGACAATTACCTAAAAAGATCGTATATCCCTGAAAACCTATAAATCTATAGGAGAGGATGAAGGAGGTCAATTGTCCTCCTCTCTAGCGATGATCCACATGGTAGGCACTGTAAAAATACTCCTCAAATCGCTACACAATCATCCTTTCCACGTGCACCACACGATCAAGAAGGGGTCAACCCTTCTTGCTGTCTATATGCCCAAAACCAGGACTATTAGCTAAGGAGGAGAGGGAGAGAGGAGTACAGGAGGTGACAATCAATGGGTCTAGCCTATGGCCCTTTGGTTCCAACTACCCAAGCCTCTTAGATTAGTATATCTCTATACATAATTCTCTTATTTGCTCTTATTGGATCTCATCCATAGGATCCAACAATTCATGTGCTTATTGAATATCAAATAAGATAGAGGCTCTAATAGATAACTTATATTTGAACCTCTACTCATCACAACACCTATCATATATGTGTGACCCTCCAAGCCTAATATCGAGCTAGTCATGAGTTATACCGAACAAAACTCTTTTTAGTTCAGTGAATTATTATCTTCATAATAATTCACTCGATTCATCGACTATGGACATACTATGTCACTACGCCGTAATCCCTAGATGATACAGGGGAATCCAATCTATTGAACTTGTCTGTCCTCAATTACCATATATCTATAGTCCTTCATCGTTCTAATATCCCA